CCCCAAAACCCCAAAACCCCAAAACCCCTCTCAAAAATTTAATTTTGATTATATAAATATTTAAATGGAGAAACACTCCTCAGCACGATTAGAAGCTGACATCTTGAAGGAAGAAGATTCTGTGAGCTTACCTTGCCTGAGAGCTCTAGAACAATTCTCTGAACTTAGTAATAACTCATTTCTTGAGAACTTGAATTTAAGTGATGGAGAAAATGATAGAATACAACTTAGAGATTCCGGTAAGAAGAGGTTCCATCCTTTGAAGTGTAGCTATCTTGTAGATCATATTTTTGACCCAATGATGAACTAAAAGTCTAATATCCTCAGAAATGATCAATGAAATATAGAAAGTGGTGATAAAATATACAGATGCATAATAGGGACAAAGCCTAAAGTTCTTCCAAGACTTAATCCAAAAGCCAGCTATAATTTAGGGATATGGAAAGAGGAAGGTGACATTCATTACGACTTAGAAGAAACTTTGGATAGCTTCTCGTATTTGAATATTCAGGAAGCTAATATATCACACGAGCCTCAATATCCGAGCCCAACAAGTAGACTTGTTATTTTTAGAATTGTTTAGATTTTGTGTAAATCTTTGAATACTTTAATATTATATCATTTTGTAATTAACGAAAGGCAGTTTAACCTCCTTATGAATAATCTTTATCTAATAAACAAAGCTAGTTTTACAGACTGCTACATCCACATTAAACCAAAAAAAGCTAAATTTCCAATCCAAATCTTCTTTAAAACACCTCACTTTCCTGAACCCCGAAACCCAAAACACCCCTACTGAATCTACAAAGACCAGCACTCCAAAATTCTCCTCACCACAATCTCCCAAAGCCCTCTATCCAAATCCCTGCAATCCTTCACCCTCAACAGTTCCAACCCCGTTTCCCACTTCAGCACTCTCAGGACTTCACTCTCTTTGACCCACATCAAATTTGTGATCCGCAGAATGCACAAAAGCTGACCGGACATCCTCCCAGGCCACTAAGTGTTAACACTTAGCTGCTATGTTCAATCTTTAAATAATTTTGTGGGGTTTTGGGGTTTTGGGGTTTTGGGGTTTTGGGG